AATACCCGATGGCACCGATGATAACAAGATGCTCTCACGAAGGCCTTACGAAGGGCAAAATTGACACACAAATTCAACACGAAAATGAACCTTCGCAAGGTCCATCGGCAATTTTTTGGCATGCCAAAGATTTTGCCACCGCTCACGAAGTTGCTGCCGAAGGCTTAAGATGCCCTCACGAATGTCCCGATGTTGTTACGATCAGAGCCGAATTTGAACATTTCCTTTATCGTGTGTCCATCGGGTTGTTTTATTGCACAACAAAATCATGTAAACATATTATGTAAATAACCCAATTTGTGTTCTGTGAAACTGAAAAGGATATAATATATTATTTTGAAGGCGAGTTGACAGGAAGTTGTTGTTGCTATGGAAACAACATGACGGAGAAAACTTAATATCTTCTACATATAAAGACGGAGAAAGTAAAGAACAAAGTCTGAAAATATCAGTACAGTATCATAGTACTTTAACATAATTGTTGTTGTTACTTTCGTTGCAGTTGTATGTCTTAAATGTAATGTAAATGTTGCCTTTGTGTGTGGTTCGGGGCCATCTTCGTGCGAAATTCACAATTCAATATTCGTGTGTCCATCGGGTGTCAATTTCGGGACAGTGTGACAGGGGCTTTAACAGTTGTGAAGATTTAGCAGCCAGGTATATATTGCACAGATATTAACGGCATATATATATATATTGCACATAGTTGGTATTTGACAACAAGAGGTGTTCATTCAATTAAATTCATTCAAAAGGTTTATTGTCATATGCACAAAGCTACAGTGTAGAAATGACAATGAAATTCTTCTGACCTGAGCTGCTCCAACGATGCAACATATAATAAAATACAGAATAAAAAGTAGTGCAAAAAGTCTATAGTCTGTGTTGTTATTTGTGTGGGGGGTCTACCAGGGACCATGATGATACAGGGAATCACTCAGAGGGAGAACAAAGAGGGGAGAGGGAGATGGAGTTGTTGATCGAGGAGGAAACACTAGCTGAGGGAGGCTGTGCAGGATTCAAAGATTCAAAGGTTGTATTGTCTCACAGAGCTACAGTAGAGATGGCAATGAAAGCTTCTGAGAGAGAGTTAGGTGACAAGGCCAGGCAAAAACTGCTAGCTGACACATCTTCATGCAAAAGTGAGAAAGTGTCGTCCGCAGCTTAATTCAAACTCATTGAGGAGCTAAAAGTGCACATAAAACTCTGACTCTGCTGACGGAGGAAAACCTTGATTCTTTTATGTTTAGCTTACAATATGTGGTCAAAGTGGTTATTTTTAAGGTTAGATGTACTTTATTCATACCAAGTGGGGACATGTTTTTGACACAGCAGCAGAAAGTATTACACATGATTTATATATTTAATACAAATACATAGAAATAGATAAAAATGTAAAATGTACACATGAACTGTAGGAAAGATACAGTTTATCATTTGAGTATCTGAAGAATATACAATATAACAAATACTGAATAAATTAGAATACTCTTTAATAGACTAAACAAAAAATATAAATAAACCTGCTTTTAATGACTTACAAGGCTTTACATAACCTACATACATATATCAGTCATTTTACAAACTTAAAGGGGACCTACAGTATCATGCAAAATGCACTTTTTGATGTCTTTTCTACATAACTATGTGTCCCCGGTGTGTCGGGGAACTCACGCAGCGTCAGAAAATAAAACCCTCTCTCTTTTCCTCCGTACCCAAATCTCTAAAAACGGGGGAACAACGGAGCTGATCCAGATTTGCGTCCGATATGACGTAATATCTGAAATGTGGACCCACGGCCCAATCAGAAACGTTGCAATCAGAAACAATGCCCGACTGTTTTGGACGTAATATGGTCGGTGTTTACATTAGCACTGCTAACACTCAGAGCTAACCTGACTGGAGAGCATGTGTGTGAAGAAGCAGGAAATAAAAAGGAACTCACCTTGTGGTATAACCGGCAAGAGAGAAAGCCTTTGAGCTCCATACTGGCCGTTTCTCGATGTCGAGTAAACCTGCTACAGAG